AATGCATATCAAAACCACAATGGGATAGGATATCATCTCACACCTGTTAGAATGACTATCATCAAAAAGACAAGAAATAACAAGTGTTGGAGAGAATGTGGAGAAATTGGAACCCTCATACACTGTTAGTGGGAATGTAAATTGGTGCAACCACTATGGAAACCAATATGGAGGTTCCTCAAAATATTAAAAATAGAATTACCATATGATCCAGGAATTCCACTTCTGGGTATTTATCCAGTGAAAACAAAAACACCAACTAGAAAAGATATCTGCACCCCGATGTTCATTGCAGCATTATTTACAACAGCCAAGATATGGAAGCAACCTAAGTGTCCACTGATGGATGAATGAATAAAGAAAATGTGATTCACATGTATAATGGAATATTACATAGCCACAAAAAGAAGGAAATCTTGCCAGTTTCAACATGGATGGACCCTGAGGGCATTATGCTAAGTGAAATATGTCAGACAGAGAAAGACAAATACCACATGATCTCTCTTATAAGTGGAATCTAAAAAAACCCAAAAAACCAAAAAGCCAAGCTCACAGAAACAGAGAACAGACTGGTGGTTGCCAGAGGGAGAAGATGGGGGTGGACGAAACGGGTAAAGGGAGTCAGAAATCGCAAAGTTCCAGTTATAAAATAAATAAGCCATGGGAATATAATGCACAGCATGGTGACTATAGTTAGTACTGTATCGCATATTTGAAAGAGCTTGCTAAGAGAATAGATCTTAAAGTTCTCATCACAAGAAAAAGAATTCTGTATGTATGGTGATGTATGGTAACTAGACTTATTATGGTGATCACTTTGTAATTTATACAAACGTCAAGTCATTAGGTTGTACAACTGAAACTAGTATGTTATGTGTAAATTAAACCTCGATAAAAAAAAATCAATTCATTTTTGGAAAGAAGACAATAAATCCTGGGTCCCCTGCAAAGATAGCAGTGCTGTTCTCAGACGTATTTGTGACCTGGGAGAACTGGGCTGTGAACAGGGCCTACTTTTGTGCTTCTAGTTTACATAAACAACCCTTAACAACATGTACAGAGAGTTATGGGGCAGGGCAAGGGGCACTGAGGGGTTAAGTGTCTAAAACTAACCCCCATGTTCAAGTTCATGGAAGCTTCATTGCTGATAACAATCAGAAAGAGAAATAGAAAACAAAGTACCCCAGTAAAAATGCTTACCACCAGGCAAAACTGCCACCAAGCAGGTGAGTTTTCAGAGTTAGGAAGAATGTGGCAGTTAGAAATGTGGTGGAGAAAGAAGCTGTTTAAACTGAGGTTGACAAAGAATATTTCTGACCATTCCCATCACTGCACAAACATGCACTTAATATGCATGTGTATATAAATGCAGCCCAGGATTTATTAAGAAACACAGTAACAGATCAATACTGGGCCTGAGTGCCAGGTTTTTATTAAAACACCTTGCTTCGTTTTTTTCCAGTTTTCCTAGACAATAATGTACACCTATTACATCATTCTTTCCCCCCGACCCCAAACATTAAACATTAAGCTAGATGTCCATAACCTACACTAGCTAAATGCCTCACCAAGGCAGCTCACAAGGGCTGGGTGGGAAGGCCAGGGGGTTTCATTTTCTCTCATGATTTTCAGCAGGTCAACAAATTCTAATTATCATCACTTACCTTAGCCATATAGCTTTTTACAGGAACTGCTTGACATATAACTGACTTAGTTCAATGCACTGGCTGAAAAAGAAACTAAGCACATATGGCGTGGCTCCTCTATGTTGTATTAACTGTAAAGACCAGTACCCACCCCTGTTCCAAATTCTAAATTCTACTGCCTCATCTCGATGTCACAACAAGGTTAGCTGAAAACCATCCCGCAGGCTGCACTGTGGCTTTAAGAGGAAATAAACGACCCCACAAATCTTTGGCAAATGTATGGCTAAACACAGCAGGAATCTCATGTATATGGATTTAAAGTTTCTCCTTTGGGAATTTTGCAAGCAAACAAAATGATTTATTTAGCCAATTCAAAGGAACTGTATCAAAACACACAAAGGCCTAGAGGAAAGATTACAATGAAAACAAATAATTCAAAGCAATTTTTGATCCAAAACATTTCGCTTAGCTCTACAAAAAAATGAATAAGGTGTGGTCATGTTTTCTGACAGAAGAGTTCACGACTCCTTGCCTCCAAGTTAAACACTCTGCCATAAGAACAGCTTGCGTGCTTAATGCATGCCTGGAAGAAACGTCTATCAATCCTTTAGTTACTAATGGGAGGATTATGTATAGTCACACCATAAAGCCTATAAAAACAGATCATTCAGAGCTGTGCTATGCAGGACAGTAGCACTAGCCTCGTGTCTTGTGAGCATCTGGAATGTGGTTAGTATGACTAAGGAACTAAAATTGTATTAAGAACTGATATTTGATTCAGTTACTGGCAAACTTAGAAAGGTTTGTGTGTTTGGAACAACTTGGGTGTGTGAATCTACTTTTTCACTGTATATTCTAAGAAATATAAACATAGACCAAGAACTCCTGATGAAAATTTAGCATCTGAATTGAGATGTACATCAATGGACATACAGATTTTAACACTCGGTGTGAAAAGAAATAGAAAATATTTCAGTATTTTTAATATAATTAAATGTTGAAATATTTTGGATATACTGGATTAAATAAAATATATCATAAAATTAATTTCACTTTTTTAATGTGGTTCCCAGAAAACTGAAAACAGGGCTTACATCATATTTCTATTGGGCAGTGCTGCTGGCAGAGCGAAATTTGAAGTCTTGAGAATGCCAGCGCCATCTGCTGGATACACACATACAAAACAGGCCCATGAGAAATGGTAAAACCAGAATTGTGTCAGCACTTGAACTCTGGGTCTGAAAGGCAAGAGGATGTAACAACTGGGCTCCCGAAACACTAAACTACCTGTATGCTAAGACAAAATGAGAAATGTTTATGTAGTCTTGAAATCCTAGAGAAAATGTGACTTAAAGTTACTAGTTGACAGTGACCATGAGCCAATGTGCAGTGATTCGCCGTCCACCTTAGGTTGGGCCATCCTGGGCAACAAAAGGTTATTTGGGGATCCCTCTCATGACCACTGGCTCCCACAGGGCTTACTGCTGCCTGACCAGACTTCCTGTCCCTTCTCCACAAACAGCCTCTCAAGTCCTTCTGCTCTACCTTACCCTCTATCTTTCTCATTTGTCTGTTTTCTTCCTTCCCTTCTTCCATTTTTTTTAATGATTCCAGTATAACTAATAATTCTATTTTTTCTTTCTACTATTCCAATTTGTCTTTTTCTGTCTCCTCTCCCTTTGTCCTACAAGCTGTTTCAGTTGGTTTTGTAGTTTTAGTTCCTATGTTTAGGTCTTCAATCCATTTTGACATTGGGTTGGTTTTGTTTATGGCCCGAGTTATGGGTCCAAATTCCTTCTTTTGCGTGTGGATAGTCAGCTGTCCCCAAATCATCTGTTGAAGAAACTATTCTTTCCCCATTGGATGGCCTTGGCACCACTGTCAAATATCAATTGGAACACAGAAATATAGCTCTTTTTGGACTCTCAGTGTTAGTCCATGGATGCAGGTGCTTATCTTGTCAGCACCAACACTGCTTTGATTCCTGTAGCTTTGTAGTAAGTCTTGAAATAGGAAGTGTGAGTCCCGCAACTTTGTTCTTTTTCAAGATTGTTTTGGATATTCTGGGTCTCTTCAATTCCATACGAATTTAGGATCAGCTTATCAATTTCTGCAAAAAGGTGGCTGGGTCGGTTGATTTTAATGTATATATATATATATTTTTAAAGATTTTATTTATTTATTTGAGAGATAGAGAGCACGAGAGGGAAGAGGGTCAGAGGGAGAAGCAGACTCCCTGCCGAGCAGGGAGCCCGATGTGGGACTCGATCCCGGGACTCCAGGATCATCACCTGAGCCGAAGGCAGTCGCTTAACCAACTGAGCCACCCAGGCGCCCTAATGTATATTTTTAAAAAGAGGTATTTGCCTGATCAGACTGACAGAATGACCCTTAGGACAGGCAACTTTACCCTTGGCACAGAGTTCAGAGGTTAAGTTTGCAAGAATTTGGGATTTTTGTCTAGTAGTACTTGATACTGATGTGACAAGGCTGAGAGCAGAGGGCACTGGAGAAATCGAATTTGGAGCAAACGTGAGCCTAAACAAGCTACATTCAAGTCCCAGAACTGCTGTTTGGATGCCACATGACCTTGGACAAGTCGTTGACCCTTTCTGGGCTCTAGTTTGCAATCTGTAATGAGCACTCCCATCAATACCACTATGTGGATCAGAGCCCACCGGAGTAGAGGCTCCTTCTGGCACTTGGAAGATCTGCTCTAGCATGTTCTTACACAATTCACTGGCCTGGGAGGCAGCCATTGGGGCCCTATGGGCCTGGTGGCCAACTCCCACTGCTTGTCTGGAGCTGAGAAGACACGGAGGTGCAGCAGGCAGAGGACGGGATGTATTCAGGCACAGGAAATGCTTCCGGAGCTCTGCTCACTAACTCACTGGTAGTAAAGATGAAGGGACCTCCCTGCCTCTCACTCCAGCCCAGGTCTATTTCAATTAGACTTCTGAGGTGATGTGGCTCCTGAAAAGTGATGAGGGACTACAGGGGGCACAGCAGAGAGACAGGCCCAGCTGAAAAACTAACCCTTAAGCTAAGCAGCCTCTCACTCTCTGACTTGGCGGAACAGCCTCCACATGGGCCCCAGGCACTCCACACACAATGAATGCCCATCAGGCATGTGTGCTGACAATAAAAGTGACTTCACCTTCTACCTTTCTGGATTATGAGGTTCTCTTCCCTGGTCTTCCTTATCATTTCAAATGTTATTGCTTAATAGTCCACCAGCTTCAGGGTCCCCTTGGAGACTAAACCACCTGCCCCGCACAGTGTCCCCTCATTTGCCACTTTGACAGGCAAAAATGCCTCCTGACAGATGCTCCATCAACTGATATGGAAGCTGAATCCTTGGAACAAAGAGAACTGCATGCTAGTATTTGCAAAAGGAAAGGAATGGAACCCTTAAATCAAATAAGCCAAGGGAGCGGGTAGGAAACAGGATTACAAACTCCTCGGGGTCATATTATGACAGCTTACACACAAATCCAGACGGACAGGTCACCATATCAATCAGAAAGAAATGAACGGCCAAGTGGCCACAGAATTCCCGAAGTACCATTCACTTTCTTCCTTGCTGACAAATCCAACCTGAAGTCTGTATCTTCTAGGGGAAGGACAGGAGGAGAAAGGTAATATTCTGTCTCTAAGTTATATTTTCCCTAATTTGGGAGAAAAAGGCACCATCACAGTATAGACCCAAGTGAGAATGGTTTTGAAGTTCATGTCACTTGTTTATAATATGATATCATATCATCCAGAGTTTCAAAAGTGACTGTGGCGGCTTGTGGTGGCCTGCTGGGGGCAGGAGTGGATGATGTATGTGAAGAGCTGGGGTCATGGCTCTGTCCAGAGCGCTGTCCTGAGTCACTCTGTGTAGGTGCAGGTCTGTTCCATGTCTGGCTACCAAAGGTACCAGTTCTCTTTTGACCCACAAAGTAATCTGATGGTGGAGCAAACTCAGGATCTCTCTCGGCCCGGAGATCTGACTGCCTCTTCGACCAGTACCCAAAGGAAAATTCTAGTAAAAATAAGAAAGAGTATTAGAACTGATTACTGAATCAGCTGAATTTTTACCATTATTACTTCTCAATTATAATATATTAAAAGCCAACTCCCATTCTCTGGAGAACAAGGATAGCAATAACATAATATAAGGTCTATGTAATGCCTACAAAAATATAAGGAAAAGGGAGTGCCTACTTCCAGATGGGGAAAAATTCAAGGAAGGCTCTGTGGGGAAGGCTGGTAGGTTCTGGAAGTATTGCCAAAAAGGCACTAAAATTATAATTGAGAGAGAAATCTAGAAAAATCAAACCCTCAGATCATTTGCTTGACATGACTGATGTAGGTACTTCACAACAAAACACAAATTTTGGCCTTTATTGAGTTTTAGAAGACACAAAAAGACACCTGTCCAAATCTCATTTGGTATTTCAGCTCTACTGCTAACAACAGCACTAACCTAAGGCACTCGCCTATTTGCCTGTCTTTTACTTGACTCTTGGATCTCATCAGCTCAAACAGCATGAGCTAATGTACTATTCTAACGATCTCATTTGAAGAGACATAAATCATAGTCTCTTCCAACAAGAAGCTGCTGTGGGCATCACGGTGTGCAGACGCAGACTATTTTCAACTGAACGTAAAGGAGACGCTAAAGAACACAGAGGACATTAAAATACCAAACCTTGTACGATTTTTAAAAGTGGCTCCTGAGAAAGGGCATTCCAAAGCTGTAAAGCCACATGAGGGCAGCACGAATTTACAAAACTTCACCCAGTGCTTCCCTTTTGAAATGATTAATGTATTGTACACCCTGGTCTTTTATGATCACACTTTCTAGTACCCCTGTTTACAAACAGCTAGTGTCTGGGTACTAAGAAGAACCAAGTTGAAAGATCTGGAGAATTCCTTAAACCTCAAGGGACCATGAAGACTCGTGAGAATCATACTGAGATGAACCAGAAAAATCTCCTGTCCAAGGCCCATCACTGGAAAGGATTTATACCTGGAAGCCCGTGCCCCCTTACCTTTTCCTCTGTCCCACTCTCGGACATGGGGCACTCCGGGCCTGGTATCCTTCCTCTCCTGAACAATGACTTCCACTTTGCTACTCTGGGCAGCAGTACGTGGAGTTGGCACAGCCTCTGGTTCTGGTGGCAAAGGTCCAATAACATCTATTTTTTGCAAGGGAATAAGACATTATTATAGTAAAGCTTAAAGCTATTTAAAAAATAATCAATAAATAGAACACGCTAATCTTGAGAGTAAAAGTAGTAACTAGTATTTAATGAGCACCTATCAGGGCCCAGGCAGTGGACTCAGTACCTTGTACACAACAGTTAGTGTAATTCTTGTAATAACCCTAACAAAGTCAGTATTAGTTTTTCTATTTTATAAATGAGGAAAATTAAGCTCAGAAATGCTACACAAGGAGAAAGAGACAGAGCCAGGATCCAAACCCAGGTTGGATGGATTTCAAAGTCTGTGTTTCCCACTATGGCACCCCGCTTCCCCAGACCAACAACTGAAGGGCCAGAAATCCCCAATTACTCAACTAAAGTAGGAGTCTCAGACAAAGCAAGGGGACATAGGGTGATGAAGACCTGACGCATGTCAACAGGCCGCAGGCTATTCACCTTTGGCCAGATTTTTAAACAAAATGGGTTTTTGAAAAACCACTGTGGTGGCACTTCACATGTTGTGGAAATGACAGATGTTGAGGAGTAGAGCAAAAACAGAGAAACAGGATGCAGAGCTTAACATGTTTCAGGGACCTAGCATCATACAAAATGGCACGGGTGACTTCCCAATTCCTCAGTGTTTCTGGTCTCCTTTCAGAGCTCAGCTGAAGCTGTGTTCAGATCAGAAGATGGCCAGTGGCTTGGCACAGGCTCCTGTGAGGGCTGGAGAGGCTGGCACATGCCCTTGACACCCACACCCCCTTCTTCCTCCTGGGAACACAACGCCCCCAGTTTCAGCTGCGGGTGTGGCCACCTCACTAGACGGGCCATTCCCCAGCCCCCTGCAGCTGCATTCGGGCCAGTGGGATGTAAATGCGTGGGTTGTGTGTGCCTTCGATTCACATTCCTAAAGAAGCTGGTTCCTCTCCCCTCCTTCCCCTTCCCTGGGGCTGGGCCGTGAACAGGTGCTAGGAAACAAGCTTCCGCACTGCAGGTAGAGCAATACTCTAGGGATGGCAGAAGCAGGAAGACAGGAAGAAGCTGGGACTGGGTGACCATCTGGAGCAGAGCCACTACCTGCCTGGAAGCCCACCACCTCTAAAGCGTTAAAACAGAAAACAGACTTCCATCTTGTGTGAGCCAGTCCATGCAGGGGTCTCGGTCATGCAGGTGTCTCGGTCAGGACAGCTTAGCCCAGACTAGGGTAACTCATACTGCAGGCAGCAAGCCAGCAAGAACATATGTAACAGTGTTTCCACACATTGTGACCTTTCATGAGCCATCCAGACTCATATTTGTAAATTCTTTCTTTTATCTGATTTTGTGAGTATATTTCTTCTTTAAAATAATGTATAATAACCAAAAAACACATAGCCATAGCAAAAGAAATTCGGTCCAAAATGTGTGTGCACAACTCAGCTTTATCTTAAAACATCTCTTCTCTCAGTTAAGTCTGTTACTAAAAAACCATGCAGTTCTATGAAGTAACACAATGTCCTGTTTGTTAGTATTTTTGTCTATAGAAAAAGATTCTTTGGAGTGTCACCCTGCACCACTCTGGTTATAAAAACCTGTTCCTGGCAGTACCTCAGAGGTACTCTGCTTGCTTAGAGAATAAAACGAAATGGCTCATTTCCATATTGCCAGTCCTACTTGTTGAGACATCAATGGAACTAAAATTTTTCCTTTTGAAGGTCAGATACATGCGCCATGATATACCTCTATTTTCTTCCTCTGCTCCATCTTCTTTTGACTTTTTCATCTTTTTTTGTCGGAGTTTAGCAAGTCTTGCTTCTAACATAGCCTTTCGCTTTTCCTTTATGTTCTCTCGTTTTGTTCTCTGATCTGTTGTCTGAATACAAAAGAAAATTAGAACATTATTTACTGTAAGCCAAATTCACAATATTTCTGTTTAAAGGGATGAAATAATTTATTTTATTTTAAAAAGAGGCTAATTGTTTTTCATGTCACCTCTAAGAAGCTAGCCTTGAGATCTTCAAAACACAGACCTATGAGGTCCTCTTATACAAGCCCTCTGGTGTGTTTTCTAAGTTTAGCGAGTGTTCACAGAGCATCCTGGAATCTTCACATTCAAGGAAACCAACCAATTCTGTTCTACTCCTTAATCCCTTAAATAAATCCCTTAAATAACTCTCTATTTTCTTACCCAGGCCACTCCAAAAGTACCATATTTAAAACCAAATTTAAAACATCAAAGTTACATAAGTTACTTCTGAGCAGCTATAATTTTAAAGTCTGCAACACCAAAATAGAACAGCAATTACCTTCGTGAAACTATAACAGCATTCTGATACTGATAAATAACAGTGATAAAACTGTCACTATTTGCAGAAGACATGATATTATATATAGAAAACCCTAAAGATGCCACCCAAAAACTGTTAGAATAAATGGCTTCAGTAAAGTTGCAGGGTACAGGGGCACCTGGGTGGCTCAGGTGGTTGGGTATCTGCCTTCAGCTCAGGTCATGATCTCAGGGTCCTGGGATCTAGCCCCATGTTGGGCTCCCTGCTCAGTGGGGAGTCTGCTTCTCCCTCTCCCTCTGCTCCTCAGCCTGCTTGTCTTCTCTCTCTCAAATAAATAAAATCTTAAAAAAAAAAAAAAAGTTATGGGGTACAAAATCGGCATACACAAACCTGCTGTACTTCTATAGACCAATAAACTATCAGAAAGAGAAATTAAGAAAACATTCCCATTACATCCAAAAGAATAAAATGCCTAGGAATAAATTTAACCAAGAGAAACTGTAAGGCAATTATGAAAGAAACTGAAGACACAACGAAATGGAAAAATACAGCATGCTCATAGATTGGCAGAATTAATATTGATAAAATGTCCATATAACCCAAAGCAATCTAAAGATTCAATGCAATCTCTATCAAAATTGCAACAAATATTTTTCATAATAATAGAACAACCCTAAAATTTATATGGAACCACAAAAGATCTTGAAAAGCCAAAGCATTCTTGAGAAAGAAGAACAAAACTGGAAGCATCAGGATCCCTGATTTTGAACTATAGTACAAAGCTGTAATAATTGAAACAGTATGATATTGTCATAAAAACAGACAGAGATCAGTGGAACAGAAAAGGGAGCCCAGAAATAAACCCAACCATATATGGTCAATTAATTCATGACAAAAGAGCCAATAATATATAATGGGAGAAGGACAATCTCTTCAATAAATGGTTGGGAAAACAGGACAGCCACATGCAAAAGAATGAAACTGGACCACTATCTTACGCCATACACAAAAATTAACTCAAAATGGACTAAAGATTTGGAACGTAAGACCTGAAACTATAAAACTTCTTGAAGAAAACACAGGCAGTGAGCACCTCAACATCAGTCTTGGCCATGATTTTTCGGATGTGACACCAAAAGCAAAGGCAACAAAAGCAAAAATTAACACATGGGATTACATCTAAAAAGTTTCTGCACAGCAAAGGAAACCACCGACAAAATGAAAAGACAACTTACTGAATGGGAGAAAATATCTGCAAATCATATTATCTGGTAAGGGATTAATGTCCAAACTATACAGAGAACTCATACAATGCAGTACAAAAAAAAGTTAGAAAGAAAAAACCCACAAAAACCAATCTAATTAAAAAACAGGCAGATGAGAAAAAAACAGAAACAAACAAACAAAAAAAACCAAAAACCAAAAACCCCCCAGCAGATAACCTGAATAGACATCTTTCCAACGCATATATACAGATGGCCAACAGACCTATAAACACATGCCGAACATCATTAATCATCAAGGGAATGCAAATCAAAACCACAGTGAGGTATCACCTCACACCTGTTAGAATGACTATTATCAAACAGACAGAAAATAAAAAGTATTGACAAGGATGTAGAAAAAAGGGAACCCTCGTACACTGTTGGTGGCAATGCAAACTGGTGCAGTCACAATAGAAAACAGTATGGAGGTTCCTCAAAAAATTAAAAATAGAGTTACCGTATGATCCAGCAATTCCACTTCTGCATATTTATTTGAAGAAAATGAAAAAACACTAACTTAAAAGATATCTGCACCCCCATGTTCACTGTAGAATTATAGCCAAGATACGGAAACAATCTAAGTGTCCATCAATGGATGAATAAAGGCGTGTGTGTCCATGCATGTGTGTGTGTGTTTATATATATGTGGAATAGAATATCATTCGGCTATAAAAAAGGAGGAAATTTTGCCATTTGAACAACACGGATGGACCTTGAAAGCGTTATGCTAAGTGAGCTAAGTTAGACAGGAAAAGACAAATACAGTATGATCTCATTTATATGTGGACTCTAACCTCCACCCCCCCAAAAATCCCCAAATACAAGCTTGTAGATACAGAGAACAGATTGGTGGTTGACAGAAGTGTGTGTGTGGTGGGGAGGGGATGAGTGAAGGGAATCAAAAGGTACTTAAACTTCCAGTTATAAAATAAACAAGTCGTGGGGATGTAATGTAGTGCATGGCAACCACAGTTAATACTGTAACACATATTTGAAAGTTGCTAAGAGAGTGGACCTTACAAGTTCTCATCACAAGAAAAAAAATTTTGTAACTATGTGGTGATGGATGTTAACTAGACTTAACGTGGTGATCATTTCCCAATAGACACAAATATTGAATAGTTATGTTGTACACCTGAAACTAATATAATGTTATGTGTCAATTTCAATTAAAAAGTAATAATAAAATATCTGGTTTATGGCTATAACATTATTTATTAAATATCAGAAATATCAATCTTTAATAAAATTGAAAGTTTATTTGATGCACTTTTGTGCATCAATGCTCTGAATATTAACTATTAAATAAATATAACATTTCTTTTTTTTTTTTTTAAGATTTATTTGTCAGAGAGAGAGATACAGAGCACAAGCAGGAGGAGCGGCAGGCAAAGGCAGAGACCCAGGCATCCCTAAATAATAACATTTCTTTAAAAAAAAAAAAAGCCATTCTGAATACCAATTTAAAAAATAGACTGTGGGGTGCCTGGGTGGCTCAGTCAGTTACACATCTGCCTTTGGCTCAGATCATGATCTCTGGGTCCTGGGATGGAGCCCCACATCAGGCTCCCTGCTCAGCCGAGAGTCTACTTCTCCCTCTCCCTATGGCCCTCCCCCCACTTGTTCTCATTCTCTTTCTCTTTCGCTCAAAAATTAACTGATTTAATTAAATAAATAATAGATTGGGTTTTTTTTTTTTTAAAGATTTTATCTATTTGACACAGAGAGACACAGCGAGAGAGGGAACACAAGCAGAGGGAGTGGGAGAGGGAGAAGCAGGCTTCCTGTGGAGCAGGGAGCCCAATGCAGGGCCTGATCCCAGAACCCTGGGATCATGACCTGAGCCGAAGGGAGATGCTTAACAGCTGAGCCTCCCAGGCGCCCCAATAGATTGTTTTTGTAATATGGTCCAACAAGAAACCAACTGCTCAAATACTTCTTAACATCAATTCTGAATTTAATTTTTACCTGTTCACGCAGCATCTCTAACGTTTTCATCTGCTTATTTCTCAACTCTTTATCTCGAGCAAAAGCAAAATATCCAACACCAAGTTGCCGGGCCTCTGAAATGAATCAAATTATTCAAAAGATTACAGTTTCCTGATTAATGAATTAGACTCAGGCTAACTTTCCTACCAAAGCTAAAAGAAATGCAGTGATATTTGGCAAGTTTAAAAAAAAAAAAAAAAAAGCAGCTAAGCCAAAAAAATCTCCTTGTGATTAATAGACCCTCTGTAGGAATGGTATTCCCAATATGAGTATTCTTTAGGCTATGAAGTGAACAAAGGGGATATTTTCAATTTCAAAATCAGAATCTTTTATTTCTACATAAAAGCTGCTGCTTTATGAATATTTCCCTTTATGCCTGCCATTAGTTCAAGATTAAAAAAAAAGATTTAAAAAGCTGCAAGATGACCATACCATTTTCACGAATGTCTTCATAATGTATGGGCCCCATTGGCCTTTTCAAGGCCTCTCTTTCTTCTTCCTCCCATTGCTGGCGCTGAAGTTCTTTTCTCATATCTTCGGATAATAAGGTTTTCTCATTAGCAGGACTAACGAAACTAGTAAGGGAACAGAGCAAAACTCTTTAGATAAGAGCCGTGAGACAGCAATGCCTCAGTTCAGTAAGCTGGATCATGGACAAGCAACTCTCGTTGATAAAGAAGACAGTTCCTTACAGAAGTTTCTGACCCAATACCCCTGAGAAATTGCAAAAATGGTCTTTACCTTTCTTTAATCAAGCAGCCGACTTGTTACAATAGCACACCAGAATCCTGCCTCAGCACTTGAGACAAATCCCTTTCCTTCCCACCCTGGTTCTGGGCTAAAGGGGAGGAGGAGGCAGAGCCTCCTATGCATGGTCACCTGCACAGGGCCGAGGAAGATGCATCATGCTGCAGTCCGGGTAGCGCCCCCCGGCCTCTCTCAGATAGCTCAGGGCTTTTGCATTTCCTTCCTTGTGCTGAGCCCAGGCCTATCTGAACCTAAAGGACTTGGGACAAGGTGGACCTTCTCCCACCATTTCCCTCATAAAAACTGCCCTTGGTGAGGGGAATTTTATTCCCTGGAGCATAAGAACAAGTTATCTCTTCGATGTGTGTTAGGCCCTGTAGAAAAAAAACCAGCTATAAGGCCCTTACTTTAAAATGCAAAAACGTATAAAGAAAAAGTTAAAAAGCTAACTACCTCTCTGCTCCCACTTGCTATGGGATAACCAAGTATACATTCCTAAACACCTTTCTGCACAGAAGTTTGTTTCTTGGACTGGGTTCATTCTATATTTTTGACTGATATGAAACACCCTTCCAAATAAACAGATACAGCTCCAACTCATCCATCCCTTTTAATAGCTACACAGTATGGATGATCAACTATTCAGGTTGTTCCTTGAGTGTGTTTTATGTCTGTATGCTAGCCACAAAAGAGTACTTCAGCAAATATTTTTGTATGTTAAGAAAAAACCTCCTTACTGGACCATCAAAGATAATGAACTAAAAGCAGCCTCACTCACAAAACAATCCGTGTCTGCATTTCAAACCTGGGCAAAGCTTTGCATATCACACACTTACAGCCTCCCTTGAAGATTTTTATCCATCTCCAGCAAATCTGGCAAATCCTTTTTCATACAGCGCCGAGATCGCCCTAAAGAATCCACATAATCCACCCTGAAATAAAAGTGAAAACATGTGAAGGCCGCTTTGTACATGACATATGGTTCCCTAAGTTAGAGAGTTGGTGCACAATAAAAAAATTAATGTAAGCCTCACTACCAAGAAAAATCCTCCACCTGAGAGGCCATTACCACTGATAAGAACATGATTTTTAAACTTTAAAGTTGACACACAATAAGCTCATTATGTGCTTTATTAAACATTAGGTTTAGAAACTGCAGAAAATGATTGATCATGTATCTCTGATTTCAAAAATAAATACCCCATACAGACCCTTGCTGCAACATCTCAGAACTGACTTCAATCTGGTTTAGACAATTCCACATATTTTATCAGCATCAAAATAACTGAGCTCTGTACCATTCTCAACTTGTTCATTTTCTCAGTCTTCCCAAATCTGACTTTTTATTCTTTTATTTCTTCTTTTATTTCTTCTAATTGGTACAGTTCTTTCCAATTAGAAATTTCTCAAGTCATGATATTTTGAGGACCCATTAATTAGGAGGAAGCCAAGCAACGCACATTTTGTACTGCAAAACATCTTGGCAGTGGGCCAGCCTATTATCTTTTACTCTTAGTTCCTCTTTCCTCATCTTTGCCCAAACTAGACAGCCAAGGGAACCAGGCAGATGGCAAGGCAAAATGAAAGACCAACTTCCCACAACAGGAAATATGGACAGATTTTCATGGAAAACATTTCAATTGCATTATGATGCAACAGATTTTTTTATTGTTTAATTATGGGCAAGGAATTTCCCAGGCTTTAGCAGGGTGCTAAAAACACAGAAAGGGGTCAGTACTGCTAGTGCAGCTCAAGGTCAGAGTCTCACATATGTGGCTTTGCTTTCGTTAGCAGTTTCTTTCCTCTTACACACACTGATTCCAATTGTTAGCCCATGACTTGAAAACAGAATGTTTGAGAATCTATTACTATAGTCCTAACGCTACTTACCACAAGAAATAAAACCTCCAACTGCAGAAAGCAGTTTCTTTCTCCCCTGCCCCACCCTTTTTCTAATGAATAGAAAAAGAAAATCATCTAGCCAGATGGTCTGAGTAATTATTTACAGTATTTTTGCGGAAAGATTTTCCACCACCTGGAACTTAACTACCAAAAGGATTTTACAAGTAGTTACAATTCTGGAGCTTAATTTAAAAACAAAAAAAGTGTTAGAACTGCTTGCAGTGCGTCTTCCTTCACCATATGGTGGCATGTGACACCTTCAATTGCCCTCCAAACTCTTCAAATCACTGACAAATTGCTTGTAATCATACAGGCATTAGTAAGGAAAAAAAAAAAGACATTAAACCTTTCAAAGGAGATGAGATTTCTGCTATGAAAAGCAATCATAGACTATTCTGTTTCTGAAGAAGGTCTCTAAAATGTACAGATCCCATCAAAACAGAAGTGGCAAGACAGTAGTCAGCAAGAGCTCTGTGTAATCAGCAATCACTGAGCAAGCCCCAGGGAAACAATTACTTGAGGTACAAGAATAATAAAGGAGGACTCAGAGTCATGTCATCTTCAACGAGCTCCAGGGGGAAGTTAAGGCATGTGCCCATGAAACACTTCCTAACAAGAGCAGGGAGGATATAAAAAGGACCCAAAGTTTGTCTCAAATCTTTTTCTGGTAATGAGGCCAGTTGTGTGTCAATACTAAAGAAAAGGTAAGACCCCCCCGCTCAAAAGGAGCTGGAAGTGTATCTAAGTGCTACCAGAGTCCGGGTGAGGGAGAAATCACTCACACTAAAAGGATGAGGAAAAGCATCAGTGGTAGAGACTGCGTTGTATGTGCTTTCCTTTGGATTGCTTGTACCAAGTGTGCAGCCAGAAAACCTAGCCCAAAGATAAATTTGTAGAAAGCAGCTAAGCAAACACCTGTTCTATCCCAATGGGAATGTTGTTTTCTGGACCACTGGGAACACCCTCAGTAGTACGAAGATGTGGGGTCCCTGTGATCCTCAGTAGCTGGCACTGCTCTCTCGTGCTCATCACCGACTCCTGCCAGCAGGGCCAATAGCTGACAGAAGGTCAAGTGCTACAAAACATCTTAAGCAGTTCCTAACAAAGACCACAATAATGAGACTATCTGAGCCTGGAAGGGAAGATGCACATGCAGGAGGGTGGGCAGGCAGGATTACTCCCAGTCTTAAACAAAGTGTTAAGTAGAGAAAATCATCAGAAGGGAATTTTCATTCTGGTCTCTTTACTTATTGACGTATTGGTCTCATAAAGAAAAAACAAGTCTGGCTTCCCCATCATTCACCTACACGTAGATAAAATTCAGGATAATTTCAATAAAAGTTTACCAAAGGTCTGCTTATACTCCACAGACAGCAGTTTCTTGGGTAGCCTAGAATACTCTGATTTCCAAGGGAGTTTAAGGTAAAATAATCACCCGTTTTACAGGTGAGGAAACAGCCTCAGCAAGGATGGAACTTGATCAAGGTCATATTGCCAGTGAAAGATGGAGCCAGTGCTACGCAGGTCCAACGTCCGCAATGCCTCTCCAACACTGCTGGAAAAGGTCCCAGCCAGAGTAAGGTTTACTGGACCGGCTCTGCCTGCCTCTTTTCTATGGAAATGAACATCGCCAACAGCTAGACAGTGACTCTCCCTGTCTGAATAATGACATGGGCAGCAGCCTGGGTAACAGAGGAACATGCTTCTGTCTAAACAACTCTTCCATACCAATGAAAAAGGTGTATTAATGCCTTTTGCACTTGGCTCAGTCTTGTAATTACTTCTTCTTTGGAGTTACTGTTTCTACATCTGTAAATCCAATCTTCAAAGAAAAGAAAACTGAGGAAGAATAAGGAGAAATGGTTTGATAACACGCAAACAAATACACTTTTGGAAAATAAATACAAGTTGGGGCACCTGGCTGGCTCAGTCAAGAGAACAAGGGATTCTTGATCTTGGGGTCATTAGGTTTGAGCCCCATGTTGGGCACAGAGATTACTTAAAAAAAAAAAAAAAAGTAAACACAAGTCTGAGAACATTAAAATGACCAAACTGTGTCATTATCACCAACCATTCTTCACTGGGGTCCTGCGGAGGAGGTATATCTTTTTCAGAAAGATTTTCTTCATCATCATCTCTTTCTGCTGCCTTTCTAGAATCTCTATTGGCACCAAACACCTCCATTTCTTTGTGTTTGTCTATGATCTTCTGCGTGAAATCCACAAGGTACATATCCTCCACTTCTTCATCTAAGACAGAAAAATCAATTTTCAGATTTTTGACATTCTTTTCAAAGAAGTAAACCACAGATGGAATTGATATGGAGCAGTCACATTCACCGCTGGGCAGCTACACTGGCCCTGGACAGTTCACTAGTCGATGCATCCACCACCCCCAGCACCCCCTGAACACTTCAAAGACAGAGAGCCACCATGGACCTGACAGGGAAGCTGCAAATAGGCCATCAGAAACACATACCACACAAAAAAGTCTTAAAAGTGCTTAAAGTCTTCTGTTGTCTCGTCAACAGAATGAGAGAGCAATATGGTCTCGGAATGCAATTTTAAGATCAAACCATTTGATTTCAAGAGACTCATCCACCCAGTGATAAAATGCTGAAGCAGAACTGCAATGCTTATGTTGCCAGACCAGAGCAATAGACCTTTGTTGCTACATATTCCTCCCCAATCAAGGGGCGACATTACTTAGCCCTAATTATACTGCCATGGTATGGGGTTTTAAGGATCACTGTATAGGGTAAAAGAAGTCATCTGAATTCTTTTCAACCCAATGAACACCACTTGCAAGCAAGGCATAGTGCGAGGATACACAGAGACATGTGGCTTGTGATCTGCCTGAGTTAAAACATACACTGAAAGTTAAATAACAATCCATGACTTTAATTTAACCCAAGATAGATGATGTACTCAAAATAAGGTTTATGTGAAGTTTCACTATACTGGATTTTAGACAGTCACTTCAGTTTTTCTCTGAGGACAGTATCGAGCTGTATGGAGCAGATACTAGGCTCCATGTCGCCAGTACTCGTGTTAAGCCCCAGTGTAGAGGGGAGAATAACTGAGGCTCCAAAACTCAACTTGCCCAAACACACAGGGCCACTATGCCCATCAGGGCCTGCTGTTTTGGACAGAACCAAATCCCCACATCCACAGGCCTTTGGACCTGATTTCTTGATTAACAATAACAAGTCAAGTTTGCATCAAAAGTAAAAGACTTTAATTTTTTTTAAAGCCACAAAATAACTCACATGAGAAAGAGATGTGTATTCCCAGAGCAGAGTTATAAGACCACATAATAGTGAGGCCTCCCGGTTAAAGGACAGACACCCTGCTGCTTCTTCAGGAAGAAGACATGGCCTCTCCCCATGTCCCCTAGCTTTTGAGAGTGCCTGACTCTCCCCCACGGGGCTCCCTGCCATGCAGGGAACATGCCTCTGCCATCTGGGAAGAGGGAGTTTGGCTGTCTGGGGAGCCAATGACCGGGGTTCCAGCCCTGCCTCTCTACTGCTGTCCCGCTGCCCCCTTTCCCAGCCCATCAGGCCCAGCCACACTAGTCTGTCCTGCCAACACTGGCCCTCTCCTCCCTCTGCGGATCTGCTCTCACCACTCTCCCCCTGCAGAATCCCTTTCTCCAGCTATCCAAAGCCTTTAAGACCCTATCAGAGCCTACCTTCTCCCTAAAGACTTCCCTACATGCCTTTTGGCAATGAAATACACACTGCCTTGTAAAATCTCTTCTGCTATCTAGTAGGCTGGGTTTTATTTTTCTGGAGGGTATGAGGAAAGGGGGATCTTTTTATTATTTTAGAAGGAATTACAGGCACATCACAGAAAAAATAGAAAATAAGGAAAAGGAAACATAACTCCAACACGCTGAAATACCATAACTCCTCCCAGTCGTTTTTAACATAGCTACAAGAGTTTATAATGATAGTCTATTTAGACCTCATTTCCTACCTTTGCTTTGTTTTGTGTCATTGGCCTCCAATGATGATGACCCCCTTGAGGGCAGAGGCAGAGAATCTGGCTTATAATGCCCTTGTTTGTTCCCTTAGAGCACCTAACACAGCCTGGCACACACTAGGCAATCAACAATTACTGTGGATTTTCTTGTCTCCGTGCCGGCAGAGAAAGTAATCTGTATTATTCCTTAAATTTCCTCCCTGTTCTTACAGTTATCATAACAAATAACAAAATACTATAGGGCTGTATAAGTTACAGAAAATAGAGAAGTATAAAAAAATTATTGTATTTACCTATAAAGTCTCCTTTAGTCATTTTTTCATATAATTTGGCTTTTTCTTCCAATTTCTCCCTAGGAGAAAAAAACACAAGTATTAGAAATGATCCAACACCTGCCACTCCTGCTAAGGCTGCCTGGGTGTCACACCCTGCACAAGAGGCCCGTCTGATGATGCGGCGGCTGTACCTCAAGCTGACCACCCCACCCTAAGGGGACCCTCAGACCCAGCGATGCCCACTTTGCCGACTAAACGTCAGTTCTGTGAGAACAGGCCCATGTTTCTCTTGTTCATGACTGTCGCCCAGGGCCTAAAACAATACCTGGCACAAGTTCTCAATCAATATCTAAAAATAAATGAAGTAAGATTCCAGGTGCAAATGCCAAGTACAACCTAAGTTAAATGCCAAAAAAAGGAGAGAGATGTCTAAACAAAAACATTTTCACAACATGTGGAAATGTTGTGAAAATTTTCACAACACAACCTTCCAAAATAGATCACCAAATTCAATGTAAACTCTTTGCATTACTGTTTTCAGACAAGGGTCCCTGGTCATCCATGGCTTATTAGGCTTCTCTAAGGGAGCTAAAGACCAACTTCTTACAAGTCTCTTAAAAATATAGTATCTGAGACCAACCATGAGAGACGATGGACTCTGAAAAACAAACTGAGGGTTCTAGAGGGGAGGGGGGTGGGGGGATAGGTTAGCCTGGTGATGGATATTAAAGAGGGCACGTTCTGTGTGGAGCACTGGTGTTAAGCACAAACAATGAATCATGGAACACTACATCCAAAACTAATGATGTAATGCATGGTGATTAACATAACAATAAAAAATTAAAAAAAAATAGTATCTGACAAATGTAGTGATCCGAAGGGGCACCTGCACCCCAATGTTTATAGCAGCAATGTCCACAATAGCCAAACTGTGGAAAGAGCCCAGATGTCCATCGACAGATGAATGGATAAGGAAGGTGTGGTATACATATACAATGGAATATTACACAGCCATCAGAAAGGATGAATACCTACCATTTGCATTGACAGGGATAGAACCGGAGAACATGCTAAGTGACATAAATCAAGCAGAGAAAGACAACAGAGGGGAAGAGAGGAAAAAAATAAAACAAGACAAAACCTGAGAGGGAGACAAAGCACGAGACTCTTCTTAACCATAGGAAACAAACTGAGGGTTGCTGGAGGGAAGAGGGGTGGAGGGATGGAGTAATTGGGTGATGGACATTAAGGAGGGCATGTGATGTAATGAGCACTGGGTGTTGTCTAAGACTGATGAATCACAGATCTGTACCTCTGAAACCAATAATACACTACATGTTAATTAACTGAATTTAAATTTTAAAAATGTTAAAAAATATGTATGTATCTGTTTTATACAAAGCATGAATAATTTATTTGTGACACATAGCTAATAAAAAACAAACATCAACCCTGGTATTTCAGTAAAGCAGCCTCTCTGCTCACATTAATTCTGATGATGTTTATTTTTTAGTGGGCACAGACCCAGTAAGACAGCTGGCAATTCTTTATTCTAGAAATACTTAATGATGGTAAAGAGAAGTCCCAAAAAGGTCATCTGAGCTTTTGCCTGTGAAGAATCACACTTAATCACAACGGAAAATTTCATTTCTAATGGCATCCCGAGACAATAAAGTCCCTCGGTCACACGGCTGTGTGCTCTGGAGTGACTTACCTCACCTCTCCTGTACCCCCAGTTCCTAAATCTGGAATAGATGAAAAAAACAGCACTCCCTCTTAGGGTGGTCACAAAGAGTACCTAGACCACACCCAAAAGCTTGCCGTCAGTTACCATCTGCTTCTTTGCCATCTGGGTCAGAAAGATTCCTCTCCCATTTTACACAGTCATCCCACAGGCACCGTTTCCAGGCCTCCTCTGTGCCAAGCACTGTTTCAGGCACTGAAGGCTCGGCAGTCAACAAGACACAGTCCCCACGCTCATAGAGTTCTTGTTATAGAAGGGGAGAAGGACAATAACAAATCAATGAGAATGAGGATTTCAGACAAGTGCTGTGAAAGGGAAGAAATAAAAGCAGTTGTCACCACTGGATGGAGGCCCTTCAACTTCCAAAAGGTTAATTTGCCCTATATCAGAGGGGCTTAATGTAATAACCTCTGTCATTATAGAATCTTACTTTTTCATGAAAATAAAACTTTAATTAAAAAAAAACAAAACACAAAAAAACAGGTGTCAGGACAGAGTAACCAGGCAGACACTAAGCTAGAAAAGGAGGCCCCGGGGAAACCTCTCTGAAGGTGACATTTGAGCTAAGGCTTATAGAGCAAGAAGCCAACCATGAGAGGATCTTGGGAAGAAAGCAAGTGAGGCAGAGGAAAGAGGAGGTGGGAATGAGCTTGGTGTGTTCAAGCAGAGACCAGAGTGGTGGAGGATGCTGAGCACAGGAGAGAGGGGCACAAAACAAGGACAGAGAAAGGCAGGTACAGGGACGCGTGGGAGGGATAAGGAGTCTGGATGCAGTGTAACAGAAAGAAGATGGCGGAAGAGTCTACAAGTGAATAATGGAGATCAAGCAAGATGTCAGAGAAATGGCCACTGGATTTAGTAGATGAGGAAGCCATTCGAGGCTTCAAGGAACAATTTCTTCAGTCGAGTGAGAGAAATGGAATTCAGAGGGAAAGAGCATGGGACACTTACCTGAAACTGCTATGTGCCAGACACTACGTGACTCCTTTAATCCCCTCAAGAGCTCCAGGAGCTGAGTATAAACTGCCTTACTTCATAGATAAGAAAAATCTCAATGGAGAAGTAACTTGCCCAAGGCCTTACACCCTCATGGGACTGCCCCTGCCTGTTTTGAGCTCTGGGGAGACGCAGAAGTCCTGCAGACCAAGGAAAGACTTGATTCCTCACAAGCACAGTGAAGCCAAAGTTAACAGGGAACTGAACAGAAAAAAATCACAGCAAAGTACCCGGGGAAATTCTGTTATACAGAGTTTATACATTTATAAAGAATAAAAGATTACAGTACCTTTCAACAAATTAGAATTCTGAGAATATGTCCAGTAGGTGAGAAAGATGTCTCAAAAATTAACATATCCCATGTCTGCTGGGAACAGGTCAAATGCCAAGAAAAACAATCCCCCAAAGGTGCTAATATCCTGCCTCATTTTTTCAGACCCAGAAGAGCTGAGCAACCTTAGCGACCACTGTTTGCAACTGCAGTTTGTATTATGCAATAGATCCAAAAGCACATGAGTCATGACAGACATTAAAACCTGGGATTCTCTCTGAATCTAGAGTGATACTGCAAATAAGGGAGAGTTCTTTACAAAAGAATGTCAGCTAATAAATGGAATGAAAAATAAAAATAAAGATGGAATGAAAGAATTAGAAAAATCATCACTTTGAAATCACCAATGTAATAACGATGTGGAAATATGTTGGTGAACAAGCATAGTCTCAGTGTTTCCCTCCTTAGATTATTATTAACTACAAATGGGGACAAGCACCTTTACAGTGGAAAAATCTAGCAGGCCTATCTTAACTGTGATCAACTTCTTCACCAATTACAACTTAAACTGACATCGTGAACCTCTTACTGTGATCCAACAGGAAGGACACATCATGTACATCATATTCTTAAGGAAAAGCAGTTAATGTGACTCTAATCAGATTGTGGGACACTGCGGATCAACAGGTCTGGACTCCTCAAGAACAGCAATGGTATAACAGACAACAAAAAGGCATGGGAATTAGTCTAGATTAAAAGAGACCAAAGAAATATGCCATCTGGGGTGCCTGGCTGGCTTAGAGGAGTGTGTAACTCTTGATCTCAGGGTTGTGAGTTCGAGCCCCACGTTGGGTGTAGAGATTACTAAAAAAAAAAAAATTTTAAAAAAAGAAAGAAAGCCATGCTATAACCAAAATGTCTCCCTTATCTTAAAGAGAAAAAGAAAGAAAAATATGAAAACTAAATTCAATGTGCAATCTTTGAATTCTGGATTAAATTTAAAAAAAAACTACAAAGGACTTAATTGTATCAGGATAACTAGTGAACTCTGCCTATAGACCATTTAAGAGATAATATTATTTTATTGGTGTTAAATTTCTTGGGTATGAGCATTATCGTAGTGATGTAGGAGAATGTCCTTGCTCTTAGCGGATACATACTGAAATATTTTGAGGCAAAGTATCATAATGTTTAACAAAGTTTCTCTATACACACACAAAGAGGAGAGAAAGAGAGAGAAGCAAAAGCAAATGTGGAAAAACATTAATTGGTGAACTTAGGTAAAAAGTATTAGAAGATTCATTGTACTCTTCTTTCAACTATTCTGTTGTTTTCAAGTTTTTCAAAATAAAAAGCTAGGGGGAAAATTTAGTTTCTAAATGCTACTGTCATATTACCTAGTAGCCCAGAGCCACACCACCATGGGGACACTTCTTAAACACTTGTTGATGATCTTAGAGCCTAACAAAGGCTCAAAGTAGGGCTCTGTTTCATCTTTCAGACTGAGGTTATGTCTTCTCTTAAGACTACAAATACATCGGCAAATTATATTAGAGTCTATTTTATATTTATAGAGCATATGACTGAAAAGATGACAAAATTAAAACTGTAAATTCAGAAGCGTAAAAGTGGAACTCTCACTTCTTTGCTTGGGTAGCCTCAGAGGCAACTACAGTTAGCAGAGCTTAACTTTACCTTGCTTTGTCTAAAGTCTTCTGTTCCTCGATCTTCTGTTCTGCATCCTTCTCAGCTCGATTTGAAACTCCTGCATTCTGTTTGCTCCAGATACTTGGTTTCTGCAGCATATTTATTTAAAAAGACAAAACAGAACCAAGTGATTGCAAAAAAAAAATCTCTACTTACACATCGGAAGAAAAAAAAAACAGATTAGATCTTATGAATCAATGGAGAAAACTAGATCTGACAGCCAACCTATGTCGTGCAAATAGACTATACAAGGAAAAGCTAGTGCTGAAAAAAAAAAAGCCCTAAATTATATAAAGAATTCCTTTACAAGATACAGTTACTTATCTATTATCTCCTGAATGATTACAACTTAATTCAATAGATTCAGTAATATAAGTAATAAATACCACAACTTATTCACAACTGTTAAAGACCCTAATATTTTCTGCTGTATGGCTATATTGTCTAATTGTTTATCTGTTTGGATTAATAATACCTATACAGCTGATCTTCCATGAGAATGTACACAAACCACTAATTAAAACATGCACTCTTCCAAAAGAAGAGCTAATTACAGTATTATAATGCTCTAATTTCTTTTAAATGCTCTAATTTCTATTTTAATATAAAACATTTTATGCAGATGGTCAGCTACAAGGGAGTTTCCTTTAATTTTTACATGTAGCAGAGACCAGGACATTTTCAAAAAACCTAGGTATGGTTTAATTCCCCCATATTTGGAATTAATGGACATAACTAGATCTTATTTTTACCTTAGTAGTTGTTTTTGGTTTTCCTAAAACTCCAGAATCTTTTAGAAGTTTTTCTTGTTTGAATTCTTCTTGTTTTCGGAAGAGTTCAGCCTTAAGGTCTACCAACTAGAATAAAACCAATAAGCAAACAAAAACATTTAATTAGAATGACTGACTAGATTTCCAAGTTCTTGTAATTCCCAAAGCAAGATTTAAAGTTCCTATAAATGGACAATAATGGATACAAAATTAAATGCCTGAATGTACAAAATAAAACCAAGTCATACTGCATTCCAGTTCTGTTGGTAATGTATTTCTACCCTAACCTTCAATACTGGGCTAAGGGGAGAGTGATTAAGCAAAGTAAATGAAGTTTGCATCTGTTAAATTCAGATTGAACTAACAACTTTAAGGGACACCTGGGTGGCTCAGTCGGTTAAGCAGCTGCCTTCGGCTCAGGTCATGATCCCAGGGTCCAGGGTCCTGGGTTCTGGGATTGAGTCCCAACATCAGGCTCCTTGCTCAGCGGGAAGCCTGCTTCTCCCTCCACCTGCTGCTCCTCTGCTTGTGCTTTCTCTCTCTCTCTCTCTCTCTCTGACAAATAAATAAAATCTTAAAAAAAAAAAATGAACTAACAACTTTAAATACCTTCTCTCTGCCTGACACTGTACTTGGCTTTTTTATACTGTAATCTCATTTAATCATCAAAATTTATTATTTCTGCAGAGAAATGTCTTTGTTCAGCAACTATCTGAGCACTGAAAAATAGGATACAAACATGAGAGGAACCATGAGAGACCATGGACTCTGAAAAACAAACTGAGGGTTCTAGAGGGGAGGGGGTGGGGGGATGGGTTAGCCTGGTGATGGGTATTAAAGAGGGCACATTCTGCGTGGAGCACTGGGTGTTATGCACAAACAATGAATCACGGAACACTACATCAAGAACTAATGATGTAGTGTATGGTGATTAACATAACAATAAAAAATTTTTAAAAAAAAGGATACAAACATGAAATAGACATTCTCCTGCCTCAAACAGTTACAACCTAATTTAAAAAAAAAAAGGTAACTTATAATACCAGTAAAATGTAATAAATGACTTCAAGAGTGGAAGAAAACAGGGGCACCTGACTGGCTCAGTGGGTGAAGCATGAGACTCTTCATCTTGGGGTTGTGAGTTCCAGCCCCACATTGTGTGTAGAGATTACTTAAAAATAAAATGGTGGGGGGAGGTGGTAGAAGAAAAGAGCATAAAAGTTCAGCTACAGGAGCACTTCCTTCTGTCCACAGTGATCAGAGACAGCTTGGAGCTGAGCCTTAAAAGACAGGCAAGGGGAGCCCAGCTGGCTCGGTCAGAGGAGGAGTGTGTAACTCCTGATCTCAGGGTCATGAGTTTGAGCCCCATGTTGGGTGTAGAGATTACTTAAATAAATAAAACTTAAAAAAAAGAGGCAAGATTTCAACAGCTAGAAATAAAGTGGATTGAGTGAATGAGAAGAGCTCCAAGTTTATGTATGTTCTAGAAACTGTAAGTTTAGCTGAATCATAGGGTTCAAGAACAGGAAAGGCCAGGGCAAAGGGAACAGGGCAGTTGGGTGAATATCCATGCCTACCTCTCACTTGTACAAATCACCACTGTGTTCTCTGCAAAGAAAGATAAAATGACAGTTCCCTTTTTAAAGGTCCAGATACAGCTCCCTATAAATCAGATACTTACACCAGCATCACAGACTGACCTCTAAGGGAAATCAAAATGACTGAGTTCAATGATTTCTATTTTGGAAGACATCAATTTAAAAGCAGCCTTGGCAGGGATTTAATAACATTAAGGGCAGTTTCATCCCAGGACATATTCTAAGTTTCTAAACACAAAAACTTTAGTCCCTTCTTCTGAGCCTTCTTCACTGTAACAATTTTCTAGCCACACATTTTCCTCTTCTATGACTACTTTTGAGTTTGGAAGATGCTCTGAAAACTGTCCATTTCCAGATGGCATTTCTACTACAGTTATTGCTAAATTTTAACCTGTCAGGATAGAATAACTTTAATATTTATAGCTTTTTGATTCCTTACGCTCAACTATAATAACCAGTACTAATCTTCAATATTAGACAAGGAAAAGAGACTCAAATATTGGGACACATAGTAGTTTTCCTTTGCACTCCCTTTGCATCCTAATACTTTGCAGGTTAATTGAAGATTAAATCAAAGATTAGGCAATTTGCTCTCATGTTACAGAAAAGGCAGTAGCTCTGATGACAAACAGCCTGAGTGCGCCAGTTCTATCACTAAGAATTCTGTAGGTAAGATGGGGAAAAGCCACTTTCCCTTATTGGGCCTCAAATTTATCAGCTATAAAACACGGATATTAATAGCACCTACTCTCTAAAGGAGCTGAGAGGATTCAATGAGACAGTGCACAGAAACGTACTCGGAGCAGATTTTCTTCCTCGAAGTAGCTACTTTAACAAAACTGCTAACATCCTGCTAGACCTTACAACCCGCAGGCACCGCAACCTATGGGTGCATTCACAACTGTTTAGTTCCTGATCGGGACGCTGGGCGCTCTCGGATCCCGGGGAATAAGTCACCCTCTCTCATGTTCTGGGAGGACCTTGCTGGTCCCTGGACTGGAAAGGAAACGAGGAAGGGAAAAGTGTCAGCACAGCAAGCACAGAGGGAGACAGGACTGGCAAGGAGGCCTGGCCCGGTTGTCGCAGAGGGGAGGCAGGGACACTCTTAAAAGGGAAAAGACACCAGGTTCAGGTCTGTATCTAAGGAGGGAATCCTGGTCCGGGTGTACGTCCGAGGGGAGAAGCCAAATACGGGGTCCTGTAAGTAAGAAAAGTTAGCCCGGGTCCCCAACCGAGAAAAGCCAGGTCTGGGCTCCTGTTTGAGGGAAGGCCAGGTCTGGGTCTTCCGAGTGAAGAAACAAGGTCGAGATTCTTGTCTAGTGGAGATGAGGAGAACTCGGAGCCCCGTAGCATCATTTGTGCCCGCACTCACCGAGGAGGCCGTAACATCCAAAGGCTTTTTCCTCCGGTCCATTCTGGCGCCAGAGCGTCTCAGCGCAAACCCGGACCCGGCACGGTCTCCCCCAGGCCTCAAATGCCTGCGTTCGGCACAACCGGAAGTGTCTGTAATAATAGCGACGATAAGTATGCGACGCTGGCGCCATCTTGGAAAGGTCCGATGGTGTGTGTATTGCGTCTGCCACCATTTTGAGAGAGTCACAGAATGCCCAGTGTTAAGGCCATCTTGAAGAAGGAGGAAGGATAACAAGGACTAGTGTTGGCGCCATCTTGAGAAGGGTGGAATGTGGCTTTCAGAGCAATGGACGCCATCTTGAGTGGGGCCGATTGGGTGTTGGGGTGGCGCCATCTTGGGGAGGGCGGAGTGACCACCATGTTCTTCGTGATGAAAAGAAAGGTGGATTGGTAGGACTGGAAAGATCTAAATGCCGTTTGAAGACCTGCGGTATGACTGGCGCTGGCTGGTGCTTCTCACACGTTAACTTATTTAATTCTCACAAGAACCATATGTGATTATATTATATCGGATTATTATATTAAGCTTGGTAGAAATGATAATAATAGATAACATTAATGTAGTGCTTACTATGTGCCACTTTACATGTTTCAGCTGGTAAGAACATGAACCCCAGAGGCCAGTTTCCTGGCTTCCAGTCGCACTTACTGTTCGTGTGGCTTTGGGAAAGTTACTTAACTTCTCTGTGCCTCAATTTCCAAATGGGAATAAAATAGTATCTACTTCATGAGATTTAATGAGAATGAAATAAGGTAAATGAGCTAGTCTTGATAAAAATATTGATTGTGTTAGACTAATGACCCCCTGCCAAAGGTGTCCATCTTTTAATCCCCAAAACCTGTGAATATGTTACCTCTATGGCAAAAGGGAATTTGCAGGCATGATTAAATTAAAGATCTTGAGATGGGGAGATTATCTGGATGGGCCCAATGTAATCAGAAGGGTCAAAGACCACATGCTAGGGAATGCGGGCAGCCTCTAGAAGGAAAAGAGAAATCCTCTTCTAGAACCTCTAGAAGGAGTGCAGCACCATGACACCTAGATTTTAGCCTTGTAGTGATTCTGCACCCCAGTTCAATGTGTGAGGGTTTTCCCACACCACCAAGCAATTCTCCAATGGCAACTGTGTCCTACAATTCAAATCAATTCTGACATTATCTAACTGGGGATAGCCTCAGATCCCATAGGTTAAGGGCTCAGTCCTACAAGACTGCCTTCACTTCAGATACCAATTCCAAGTCCAGGCTGTCACCTGTGCTTCTAAATTGGAGGTTCCAATGAATCCCTCCTTGGGTTTGATTAATATATTAGAATAGCTCACAGGACTCAGAGAAACATTTTACTTACTAGATTACTGGTTTAGATTATAAAGGGATGTAACTCAAGAACAGCCAGATGGAAGAGATGCACTAAGGCAAGGTGTTTGGGAAGGGGGATGGAGATCCCTTGCCCTCTCTGAGCAAGCCACAAATCTCCACAAATCTCTACGTGCTTTCAAACCTGGAAGCTCTCCGAACTTTTTTAGAGGGTTTTATGGCGGCTTCATTACGTAGGCATGATTGATTAAATCATTGGCCATTAGTGATTGAACTCAATCTCCAGCCCCTCTCCCCTCCATGGAGATCAGAGGGTGGGACTGAAAATTCCAACTGTCTAATCACACTGTGGGATATGGTTCTCCTAGCAACCAGCCCCTATGCTTAGGTGCTTTCCAAAAGTCACTCATCGACATAACAAAAGACTCCTTTATTGCTGTCTTCCCTTAGAAATTCCAAGGGTTTAGGAGCTCTGTGCCAGGAACTGGGCTGAAGACCAAATATATATTTATTATAAATCACAATATCACACCTTGTAAGGCTCATTTCAGACTTTCGGCCTCCAGAAAAATAGGAGAATTTGTGTTGTTTTAAGCCACTAAATCTGTAGTAATTAATTATGAAATGGCTTAAAAGCACGAAGTTGAACAAAAATAAAAATGGCTGCACTAATGTTTCAGCAAGCCTCGATTTTTAAACTAAGCAACCTTTTTCTTCTCTTCCCCAAATCTTCCCTCCTCTCTTCTTAGCTTTTTTGTTTCAGGAACCCCATATCACCTGGAAGACATGACAAATGAGGCTGGCAGCATATACACAATTCCTGTCAAAACCAGCTAGATCCTGATTTCCCTAGGAAACACCCCAGCCCTGACCTTTGGGAGGGCTTGCAGTTTTGAAGGCTTTAGCCTGCTGCAGCCTCCTTTGCCTGGCAAAGCAATAAAGCTGTTGTTCCTCTTTACCCCAAACTCTGTCTTCATGCGTTATATTTTGGCTCTGAGGCACGGAAGTCAGTTTTCAACAACAGTTACAAATGATGAGTTTAGCAGTAGCACTAGTGGATGTCAGACATGTGCGTAACTCTTTTCATGGGTTATCTATTTGACTTAATCCTTGGAATAATCCCAGAGGTCGGAGCTATTTAACCCCATTTTACAGAGGAGAGAAACATGGACCAAGAGGTTAAGTGACGCGCCAAAGGGCCTTTGCCAGCTAGAGCTAGTGCTGGAGCGTAGAGTCAAAGAATAACTCAAAGACACTGAGTTAATTTTTTGCATGCTATTTTCTTGTAAAGAGGGGAACCATCTGAAAATGGCTAGAGAGGAATTGAAAGAGGGAAGAGGAGAGAAGGAGAAGACACAGACAAACTGGAAACCATGAACTTCAGTTTTCTTGCCCAGCAATGATGCCATTCAGAGGGTTCTGGTCTTGGGCAGCTAGAAAGAAACTTTAGTTGTTTATGGATGCCCAGAAGACCTCAAGAGTTGAGCTTTCTCTGTGTAATGCCTGTCATGGTCCTTTGCTGTCATCTTCATGCTCATTAGGCGGGTTTATACCATCACCTTTACCAGAAGTTCTCACCAGAGTGGCATCCAGCTGGTTTTAATTACCTACCAAGACGTTGAAATTACCAAGAAAAAACCAAGGAATCTCCTTTATTTACCCCAGCCTCACACACTTCAAGGTCTGGAGAAGCAGGGAAAGCTTCTTCTTGGATTGACCAGAATGCCCTCTGAGCACACCCTTGATTTTTCTGTTTCCTCAAATTCTTCCTTTGATGCTTTCCAAACGTGGGTCCATCTGGAATTGCCTTCTGCTACCAAATACAAAAATTGAGGCCACAGCCCTCATGTTCTTTACTAGGCCATTCTCCTCCAGATCTCAGACCACAGACTTGGATTCATTCTGGAAGAAAGAGGCGGACAGGGGGTACTCTAGCCTGGTGAGAGAGAGCACAGGTTTTCCTCCAAGGAGCCTGGGATCAGTCCCAGCTGCACCCCTTCAGCTACCTTGAGAACATTGCCTCACCCCTATTTGCCTAAGCCCCTGTACCCAGGTGGGCCCACAGGATGTCTGAGATACAGAGTACAGGAATGGCTTGCCAGCTGACAGGCACTGTGCACGCATCACTTGCGGGGTACAGAAGTTTTGCTCAGCGCCAGTTTTCTCACAGCAGAAGGCACACACTTAAAGACAGTCTCTGTTATGACGCTGCATCTTTTGCAGTGTTCTGAGGTCCATTTTGTCCCCCTGCTGGGTCCCCAGGGGGTGGGACTGGGTGGGAGACCAATTATCTTCTTCCTGCTCATCTCTTAAGTGGATTTTGTCAAATCTCCTAGGCATTTTAAAGAAGGGGGAGAGAGGAGACCTTCTGAAACACACAGCAGTTATTTCCCCGTGGACACGGCCACCGAACCATGCTCTCATTTTTAAAGGGGGCCCTGGAGTCATTTTTTCCAACACGAAGTCTCAGAGCAGCTTAGTTTGCAGGCTGCAGCCTGTGTTGCCGCTGTAAGGCTTTAATCGGCAGTTAAGTCAAGAGGTTTAATTTCATCCAGGCCCCCTTTTGGCATGTGTACCATTTTTCTACATATCTGGTTTCCTCAGACAAAAAATGTGTCTCTCCCCCACGCGTCCAGCCCGTAGCATCTTAACTTTGTTCTGTCTCCAGAGCACTGCCTGTGATAATAAATTACTCAGCACTGGATGAATTAGCCAAACCCAGTGGGTGAAAAAAGATTAGGTTGGACCTAAAGAAATTAGGTTCTAAGCAAAGACACAGGATGAGGCAGAAAGATACCGAGACTTGGACCCTGGATGACAAGCTTACCTTTACTGGCGTCAGGCACAAAATCGGTTGTTGGCAATATCACATTGAATCCCCACAACGACCTCAAGAGTATGTGTTGTTATTTTCCTTATTTTGTAGATGAGGAAATTGAGACTCAGAGAAGCTAAGTAACTTGACCAAGGTCACATACCTAGTCTTGGTCCCAAGATTCAAACCCAGGCAGCCTAGTTCCAGAACCTCACACTATCCTCTCCTAGTGGATTTCCATTCATTAATTTATTCATTTATCCATTTAACCCTACCGAGGAAGGGAGAAAATTTTATAGAAGAGCGGACCCCAGCATATTTCTGCAGGAGGCACCTGTCCTTAGGTCACTGTAGGTGGAAGGGGCCTAGCAGGTGAATGCCAGGAGAGGCCTGAAGGCGCAGGCTGGGGTGAGACAAGGATTATTTGGTGGCCTGGGGAACCCATCTGAGCTTGCAAGTCAGGAATAACAGGATGGTGAGTGGGGCTTGTCCTGCCGCCTGGGAAATTGGTGCTCGAGGCCACAGTTGAACACAAGAGGTACAAGGAATTCTACGGCCTGGAGGAAACCGCCCATCACTGGGGCCTGAGTGTTTCCCCCAACCTCAACCAGTGGCTCTGAGGAGAAGAACAGGGGAAGATGCCTTACCACACTCAACCCCACACCAGCCCCACTGCTGGGAGGGAGCAGAAGAGCCTGAAGCCAAGTGAGGGGCTCCAAGGAGGGGCACAGAAGACAAGTCAGGGACCTGGCAATGCTTAGGTGGGTGTATCCCTCAGAGGGTGGTGAAGGCCATGAAGTGGGGAAAAGCAGACCCTTCCTTCTGGCCCCGTGTTAGTTTCCCAGGCCCAAACCCGGTGGCTTAAAACAATAGACATTGCCTCACAGTTCCGGGGGCTGGAAGTCTGAGATCAAGGTGCCGGCAGGTCCACAACCCTGCAGTCTGTTGGGGAGTCATTCCTTACCTCTTCTTAGCTTCTGGTGGTTTGCTGGCAATCTTTGATGTCCCTTGGCTTGTG